TGCTGAACAGTCTGTCCCCATCTTTCCTACGGGCCCCCTTTAAGTACTGGAAGGCTGCAATAAGGTCTCCCTGGAGCCTTCTCTTCCTTCTCCAGGCTGAACACCCCAAACTCTCAGCCTGGCCTCACAGCAGAGCTGTTCCATCCCTCTGATCGTTTTTGTGGCCTCATCTGGACCCACTCCAACAGGTCCCTGTCTTTCCTGTGCTGAGGGCTCCACAGCTGGATGCAGCATTGCAGGGAGGGTCTCACCAGAGCGGAGTAGAGGGGCAGAATCCCCTCCCTCAACCTGCTGGCCACGCTGCCTTGGATGCAGCCCAGGAGATGGTTGGCCTTCTCAGCTGCAAGCACACATTGCCAGCTCCTATCCAGCTTTTCATCCACCAGGACCCCCAAGTCCTTCTGGGCAGGGCTGCTCTCCATCCCTTCATCCCCCAGCCTGTAGTGGTATCAGGGGTTGCCCCAACCCAGGTGCAGGACCTGGGTGTGCTGACTGGCACAGCTCTAGTGCTATTTAACACTTGCTGAAATCTGGCCAAACCCACCTGTGTTCTCAGATATTTGCCAGGTGCCCCCAAACCCAGTAGTTCTGCCTGACTGTCATGCCCTTGCCATCCCTCAGGTTTGCTCTGTGTTGCCTTACTGGTGAAAGACAGCTGTGGGGGCATGTTCCTGTGAGAACAGAGCATCCTTGGTGGGTTCCTCAGCATTTTAGACTGATACCAAGAGTACCCCGTCAAAAAGTATTGCCAAAAGTATTGGACAAGACATCCAAAAAAGTATTGGATGCCAAAAGTATTGGACAAGACATCTTTAAAATACATTGGTAAAGCTGGGATAACGTGCAGAAGCTGTGACAGAAGCAGGAGTAAATGATTTGCCCAAGATGATGCAAGAGGGCTGGTGTCAAAGTGTGGAGGGAGCTCTGGTCTCCTCACTGTGCATTTTGTGCGTCGGCCCCAGGCGCTCTCCTGCACTCCCCCACCCAAAGGTGTACGAAGCTGTGTGGTTTGAGGGTCTTTCCTTGCGCATTGGCAGCAGAGGGGAGCTTGAGATGGACTAAACCACTGAAGCTAATAAACTTCTCATGTGCATGCAGGGACATTGGGCTAATTAGTTTGCTAAGCAGCGGAGCTGGAGCTGTGCAACTGCCTGACAATGGTAAGAGGAGGGAGCTGCAAGCCAGCGGCCTTTCAGTCATCCATCGTTCGGTCATCCTTTCACTCCTTCGTTCCATCTCGGCTCCCTACAAATGATGGATGAGTAGAACAGAGGCAGTGAGCCAAACATATGCAACCTATGCATACTGTGCAGAGCCACATAATCCAAGCGGTATTGTTCGCTGTATGTGCAGGCAGCGCTTCCCACCAGCTCGCGCTGCTGTCGCTGGAGGGAGACTTCACCGGTGGCTTCTGTGGGAGCAGAGGGATGCTGGTGCAGGGAGCTTTGGAAAATCCTCTTCTAAAATGCAAATGCTTTCCTTCATTAAAACCCACTTGAAGCCAAGCGTGATCAACAAACACAAAACACTTTCACAGCTCAGACATGCTGTGGATTACGGTTCTTTTATTTTTTTCCCCTGCCCAAAGCAGTTTGCTCCTTAGCCTACCGGCGTGAAATTAATTAACAATTTCACAAAAATCTTCGGTCTGCAATGATTAGATAATCTCTGCTTGTGTGTTAGCTAGGCACTGGGAGTGTACAGGGGCAGACAAGTTGTATAAGCAGAAAAACTGGTGAAATTTTTATCCTTTTGTTAGCCATCTCCCTCCCTGGGAGCTGTTAAGAGCAGGTTAACAGACAGACAGGTCTCAGGAGTTGTTTGGGTGTAGCTTGTCCTAGCTTGGGGGCAGAGAGACTAGCACACTCCATTAAACTTTTCCATCCTTTCCAGCTCCCTTTTCTGTGAGTAAAGGATGTGAAATTCTTGATGCAAATGCTTCTACTAATAGAGTACTGTGCTCAGCTATTTAGCGATGGTTGCTCGGTTGAGTAAGCTGTCCTGCACACTGCACACGGGCTGGGTTAGCTGCTGGTGTGCCCCTTGCTTAGTTCTTTACACCTGTGCTAAATGACTTGTAAACTCAGCAGAGTTGCTGACCTTTAAAATACGTTTAAATACACAAAATTCTGGGCCCTGAAAGGGGAGGGAGCTAGAAGGCATGGCTTCTGGAGGCTTATTCTGAGCCTCTGGCTCCCCCGGCTGGAACCCAGGCTGGAGAAGGCACGGTGGGGACCCAGGGACGGGAGTCAGAGTTGTTACCCTATGACAAAGGCATCTACAGTATCTGAGTACCGTTTCCTTATGGCTTGCTTTGTGGAATGATTAAATTAAGTATGATTAATTTTTTTCTCTCCTCCCCCCCCAATCAAATGAAACGGTTGCAAACGCGAGGGGGGACGCTTGGAAGATGAAGGCTGACCATGCAGAAAGCAGACTGAAAGGAGTTTCAAGGGAACATATCCAGGGGTCTGAGCTCCTTTAAGTAAAGTAATGTAAAAATGTGGTTTAGTGCTAAGCCTAATTTAGCATGCCTGCAGGCTGCTTTGTGCAGAAGTAGCCTCAGCCTTCCTCATCATCTCCAGATATGGATTCCTTCCCTCTCTGTGCCCTGCATCTGATGATTTATACAGTCACATAATGAATCCAATCAGCCCTATTATCCAACAGAAGACTCTCTTCATGTTTATTAATAGTTTACTGTTGTGGCAGACCAGCAAACTGAACTGTGCATCCCGTGATGCTCGTCCGGTGCAATGGAGATGGCAGCGGTGTGCAGCCCAGGTTGAGAGGAAGAAGAGGGGGGCACGCGAGCAGCCCGTTCAGCAGCAGTGTACACTTTATATCAAATTTGTTGTAATGTGAAACCGTACACAGATTCAGTGTACGTGTGAGGAGGCCCTTTGATACAATCCCTTTGAACGGCAGGCTTTGCAGATTCAGTTCTTGTTATTTTAGTGCAGGATTTTTTGTGCAGTTTTCTGCCTGAGACGGAGACTTGGAGGCTGTGGGAGTGTGAGCAGTGTCATGTGTGCAAGTGCCCTTCGAAATTATGTGAGTTTACCTGGCAACACTGCAAGAGTTGAACAGGTTGGAAAGCTGAGTGATTAGCTGTTGAGCTGTGTACAACAAATGCATTCAGTGGAATTGTGCTATTCAATTGGCACACCAGTATAATTTATTTAAAATAATGTTCCCAAAGGTTCCATTTGTAAGTTTCTACTTTGTAGTATGCAAGAGTTGCCAATACTCTTTAATCCTTGGAGCGAAAGGACAGACTCCCAGCAAGAGCACAATTTTGCTGTAGTCCTTCATGGTTTTAACACTGCCTGTGGAATACTTTGCCAAACTCCGAAGAATAGAAATAAAAATGAAACATTTTGGCCTTTTGGTCTCTGTTTACCAGCAGCAAAACAATTTTCAGATGATTAATAGATCTCCAAGCCCTTTGGAAGCTCAGATATAGCTCTTTCCGGGCTGTCACATGTCTAATTAATACAGCTAGTAACGGTAATACTCCTGCTGGTATTCTGCTTTGGCCAAGGCTAGGCTTGCAAGCCCTATAGCTGATCCTTAACAGTGTCTTTACACCCACCTAAAAACTTTCTGGGGTCTGTAGAGTGTGGGAATTAATTGGCACAGGTAGCATTTGCTGCTGTACCGTGGCTTCAGGGAGTAACGTTGTACCACAGAGGATCTTTCTTTACAGTCATCTGGGCTTTTAAGAACACTATTATTGAATGCTGATTTTAAGCAATTATGGTTCTAGGAGAGGTCGCAGTGTAAAAATGCTATAAAATAGGCTTACTTTAATTGGTTACAGCTATACTAGGAAAACTGTATAGAAAAGGAAAATCACTGTTTTGCTTTGTTATTTAGCAAATAGCACTTTGTATCACCAGATAGGTATGCTGGGAAAGTCTTTTTAATTCTCCTGAGGGTTGTACTTATACCTGAAGGAGGAAAGTTGTGTGTGATGGAAAGAGTTTTTATTCTGAATTTCTTCCACCACTGTAAAGCTGTGGTTGGAGTTGTGCTGGCGTGCGTTCAGGAGTCTGTCTCTTTTCATCCCCTTGCAGCACACTAATATCTCCCATCTGAAAGCCCGAAATGGAGGCCCTTAGTTTCTGTGATTTAGGATTTGATCAAGCTTGCGATCGTGATAATGTTGGCTCAGTCTGCGCTGAGATTAGGTAATGAATCGTGTATGCTTTGGTAATCCGTGGCAACGGTGAGTAAAACAGGTTCTCTTAAACCACTGCTGAGGGCTGAATAACTGAGAATGGAAAGAGTGGAAATAGTAAAAAATGCCTGATACGACTGTAAGCAAGTGGCCATACTCATCAGTGTTTGGGCATTCTTGCACAGTTTTGATACACTGTGGTCTTTCTCTTTATAGCGCTTCAACTTCTCACTCGGACCATTCCACTCACACGAAATCTGCTTCTGCTATATCGTCCGACTCGGTCTCCACCTCGGCAGACAACTTCTCTCCAGACTTAAGGGTATGTATGTTTTGTCTTAAAAAAGAAAAATGTATATATTGTGGCCTTCTTCAGAGGACATTTTTTGCCCCTGTGAGTTTGGATGTAGTAAAACCTTTTCGGCTTTCAGGTTAATGCCAAATTTTATGTAGCCAAAGCATGAAAGGACCCAAAGTCAAACAGGTGAAATAGAAATTGAAGTTTAATCTCTACCATATTATTTCCTTATTTATAAAGTTGTTTAATCTTCAAAAAGCTGACTCTGCAACCCACACTTGGAGATGAATTTTCAAAGGAACTCCATTTTCTTTCAAGTGCTTTTAGTAAGTGAAATCCTCAACCTGTCAGTTGTATATCCTTTTTTTTTCTTTTCCTGTTGTGTGTATATCTGAGATGTTCGCTCTTGAAAACTCCTGCTTGTTTGTAAACACCGAGTCCTTGGAAGTATCTTCTGTCAGAGAAAGATTGCTATCTCCAAGCTGATAAAATAATCTTCTGTCACAATAAATTGCTCTGACATAAAAAGGTCCAAACAAGGCTCTTTTAAGTCTGTTACCAGATTTGTTAATTACAAATCCAAAGTTCTAGTTCAGTGTCACAGGAGTTTCAAAAGCTGTCTGTATGTTCCTCTTATGAAACCAAGGGGTTTGCTGATATGCCCTTGCTTTAAAAAAATATCCCAGAGTATAAAACTGTTGATATTGGTACATTCTAGTAATGACTTTTAGCATTTCTCAGCTGTGGTTGAGCATCTTTGTAAAATCTAAACACAGAAAAATTGTGTAAAAACCTGTAAGTGCAATGCTAATTCTGTTGCCAACCATGATAATTTTTTTGTCCCATGAGTGTTGTCTCAATAGTCCATAATTAATAACACTAAGTTCACCTGTAAGTGGCAAAAACATGAATGTTTCTTTCTAAAGGCAGCTTATTAGCCAATTTTAAGCTAAGATTTGAAAATGAATCAATAGGTTACGTGTAATCTAATGATAGTTTACACATTTTACCTATGGATACAAAAAGTAAGCTTCAGAGCTTGTCTGGGTAAAGAAGTATGTAACAGGTCTGAAGTTTTTCCCCTGTGAAGTTGGGGTGTTAAGTTACTCCAGCATACAGAAAACACAGTTTTTAGGCTGAGGCTAAGTTATTCATTGATATGAATATACAGAAGATTGCAAATACTGCTAAAACTGTAACTGTTTGTATAATATTATAAAAAAATAAATTTTACACAAACTTACTTTATTTCCTTATTTAATTTTTTTTACTGAAGTTTGCGTAAGTGGGTTTCTTTTTCCAGTTCTAATGCACAACTCAACTGCCTTTTCACAATTTTTCAATACTTGTGAATTACCTCCACAAGTAGAGAGTGAAGCAACATTTCTTTTCTATAATTGAGGTTGTCTTTCCTTCCGGGTGGTTAAGTTGGCTCAGCGTGTTTTCCTTGTAATCCTGATTGCAT